CTGCCGCAGTCGCCAGCCCGGGCCTATCTCCCTGGAACCGCGGTAGATCCGTACCTAATCTACCACCGCTGCACTCGTCTTTGCACGCCGCCGCAGCGGTTGCGGCCGCAGCCGGTCTGCAGGGTCGCAAGCCGAGTCCGACGTTCCCGGGCCATCCGGGCCCGGCAGCGGCACATCCCTCCTGCATCAGCCCGGTCAAGTTCCGTCGGAGCACGTCGTATCCCGGTAAGGGCAACATATATCCACCTCAACCAGCACCAACCTTCGAGGTAACCGCTGCCGAGGAGAGGGACCTGCTGCAGCTGCCACCGTTTCAGCAAGTGAGTCTTCCAGTCTTAAAGTTCTATGGCTGGGGTTCGTTCAGAAACTTCAGTCGGATACATTCAGATATCATTTTATCTTTGTCTTTTTTTGTTCACCGAATATTAAACCAGGATTAAATAATACTTGAATGCATCCGGAAATTTTTGAACGCTGCCTTAGTATTCATAGTTCTTTCGGTTTTTATTCCAAGATCATCTTAAATAATGTCTTAAGATGCTAATAGTTCTGATTGGCTTGTGGCATCTTAAGACAATTTTAAATATAAGATCCGAGATGAATACCGGCCTACATGAAATTTAGGAAGCTGGGCTAGCGCGTAGAAGTTATGCTGATCTAACCCACTTTTCTACAAACTTTAGGAAATGAATGCAAGGGTTGAGATTTAATTTAATGTGTGGAATATTTGATTTTTGTGTAACTTTAAAATTGATTCTCAAGTTTCAAACAAGTAAACTGGAGCATTGCCGCATCGAACTCTTTGATTTATTTATCTCCGAAATGAACGCTGTTAGAATGAAGCATTTTTGTGAAGACGAATAAGCATTTGGTTGAATGCCAGGTTTTCCGAGAGGAATTTTTAACTAACCGATTTTCTATCTTGTCCACGTGAAAAATCAATCACCTCTGATTGGTTAATGGATAAGTAAAATCAACACCAATGATGTTATTATTATCGAGTAAATTAGCAATTCGTTTTCGTATAAAAATATCACGTTATTAGCGACGTGCTGATAATTACGCTCACACAGCCGTCAGCTAGATTACGTTCTCTTCTCTACACGCTATTCGCGTCGATTGGTTGCACAGATCACAGGTAAAAGAAGGGGACTCGGGACGACCGCCGTTTGTTGTTTTACTCGACTCGCGGGCACCGATGGCACGGACTCGTTGCCTCGACTTTTTTTCACAGCCGAGTGGCATCGCGTTATCGATCGCGGTTGAAGCAGGTAGTATAGCCAAGGGTACTCGCTTGTAAAACTGCGCTGGCAATCATGCGGTCTCCTAGACCGTTGTGGAAGGTACGCGCTACGCTTCGACTTCCGCAGTTTCGCGTTCTTTTGGTACGCCACGACACCGTACCGCATGCGTTACTCGTGTCACCTCAGGTTATGCAACTGCACCCCGAGAACGAGAGAGAGAGAGAGAGAGACTTCGTATTTAAATTTAGCTGGCACAACGGCTGTTTCGGTAGTTATACATGCGGCGTGACATCGTCATTTTTAACGACGCGATAATGTCGTACCAGACTTAGTAATGTACGCGGCAAGCCGCGGTCATATCGCGTAGAGACCCTATAAAGCCGAATCTACATAGGACGCAAAACGGGTGACGTATTTTCGGTTGCAGAACGCAAGACGCGAAAATTGTAGTTCATCCAACTTCAATGCGTCCTGTGTTCTACGTCCTACAGCCTATTACGACCTGAAATACGTCACGTGCGTCTAATCTTGCGACCTGCGACCTACGTTTTGCATTCTATGTAGATCTGGTATACACACACCCAGGGAAAAATTTCTTCGATTGAAAAAAACATTTGTTTGGATCAAAGGAATTTGTGCATTGCTGTACGGTTAAAGAATAGTTGCTTTGATTTGAACATTATTTCTTGAAATCAAGTAAATTTTTATTTTCCTCATAGATATTTTCACTTCAACTTAAAAAAAATCAACGAAAGAAACGATTTCTTCAATCTAAACATAACTTTTTTCTGGATGTAACAGAGTCTGATTACAAGTGATTTTTTCAGAATCCTACGAAAGAAAGATATATATATAAATTTTTCCCCTATATATGTACTATCTCATTCTAACTTATACCATCTCACTCTAACATATATAGTTTCACTCTATAACTTCAACTAAGATTATAAAGTAAGACAATATAAGTCAGAGTAAGTAGTAATATGTACACTGTACAGGAAAAAATGATATATATAGAAGGAATTATATATTTCGAAGGATTTTGACAAAATTCGTGGTTAAACTTTGATAATAGGGTCTCTAATACTAGATGCCGCAGTGGCATCTATGGCGTGCGTTTTCCGTCCACGCGGGAATTTTACGTGGTAGAATCCGGGTTATCTCTCACCGCGCGGCATTCTCGTCATTTCGCGTATCTAGCCATGTGATAACGATACCTCACGTACGATAGGTGCTAAGGAAACTCACAGGTCGAAGCCGTATATCGAAAGTGTTCTGGCAGTCTTTCACTTTTCGGTGTAATCTCCGTAACACGTTACGTTCTGCACATGTGGCATCACTGAATAGCGAATATATATAGAAATAGAAAAGGAATAGATAATGGAATGAATGGCACGCGGTGAAAATACAGGTCAGCGTTTTCCTCGATTATATATTTTTCCACACCTTCGCTCCATTTTCACGTCCGGCGTACAATGACGTTACATCAGATTTAATACGATATTGATCTTAAAATTAGAATATATATATTATATATATTTTGCGATACAATTAACAAATGGATAAATAGTCTCGTTAATATTATTCTGATTTCGCATGCATGACTATAAAGCTTAATTTAAATAAATTTAATACGGGATTATTACGAAATACTGTTGATATTATACTCTTATTGGATAAAATTCATTTATATTATCGTTATCACTTTTATTTATTGTGCTCTTTGTGACAGACCTTTTTACGTTCCATTCGAGATATTAATAATTTTCCGTAACAATTTTATGGATAGCAAACAGTTAAATAAAGAGAGTCAAAATTAGTTCATACAAAGTGTCTTTATTAAATTACTAAAAATTTTTTTTTTTGAAGGTTATGCAGCTATTAAGTATATACATATATTTCATAGAATATAACATTTCATTTTTATAGCAATTTGAAGTTGTTAAAAGACGAAAATGCTTGCTTTACTATAATTATCAAATTATCAAGAGTAACGGTAATAGAATGTAGAAAAAAAAAACACGAATATTTTTATTTAAAAATACATAATTATTACCCTTAAGACATTATTTCTGGACGAGTATCTTCCCTACGGTAGATAAGAATTATTGAGGTTGCCATTAATAATCGATTTCACTTATTTTTTTTATCTATCAGCGCTATCTGAAACTACTCCGCTGATACTTATTTTGTCGTCCAAGTCTGACCTAATTCCTTTCCGACGTGGTAACTCCGACAGTGTCTAGCAGAAGTTTAAGCTCAGCTATTTTAACCACCACTCAAAAATAGATCTGCATACTATCCTAGAGAAATGGCGGGTGTCGTCATGCTGTCGTTCAGCTATCATCTCCGCGTACCTTATCTCAACATTTATATATTTATACACGATACATCGCTTTCCTTTTCATCGCGACTTCTTAATCATGTCAAATAATGGTGCCTATTGTAGAGAATCGTGAAAAAAACAACTACAATATTTGAAGAATATCGCGTGCCATCATAATAAAATAATGTCGATATAATATTACACTGTAAATGCATCAATAGTGTAATATAAATTTTTAAACTAAAGAAATTCCGAGATGTCTTCGCCGATAAAATATTTTAAAATTGCATATATTTTAATATGTCCGTAAACGCTAATTAATTCACTAATTAATCAGATTGATTAGATTTTACTAAAAGTGTCATGTAATTTTTTATCAAGATTCTGCTTTTATTATTTGATGTTGACTGACAAGTTATTGTTTCAACATTTTCGTTTTTCTTTTTTAACAATTAAAATATCAATTGCCTTTATGTTTACCGTTATGTTACATCAATTTGTTTTTCCTTTTTCAGTTGCTACACAAAAATTTGGCATTCCGTTTAGATTTATAATGGTAGACATCATCACACGACTACGTACTAAGGAACGAACAGGTGAACGCCGCGTGCAGTATAAGACGTTTATCCATATCAGTAGCCTTAACATCGTTGATTTGACTGTACGTCGCCGAGAATAATTAGCTCGTACACAAACAAGTCGTGAATATGACCTGCTTACCCCGATTCAATCAAATACTACCTTCAATAGAAATTATAATATGTGATCTATGCTCCTTGACAGTTTTTTTTTAATTTTAATTGCCATATAAAAACTATAATTTATATATATATATCTTGTGGAGTTTTTTTAGAAGACGATACTAATTAAAAGCTTGAAAAAATATTACGCAAGATTTGCGTGTGTGACATTTTATTTAAAATTTATATATCTTTTAAAAGGATTCCTTTACTTTTTCTAGTTCTAAATCTCTTTAAGATTCATAAAGGAAACTGGAATGTTAGTTTTATGATTTATATGAAATACAATTCCTTTATTTATTATTATAGATAAATTCGCGTTATGAAAACATAGCTAAAACGTTTGATATCGACTATGAAACGATACGATCGTAACCGATAATAATAGATATTAATGGAAGAAAACACGAGGAAAAAATATCGTCGCTCTTTCGTCGATTTTCCGATTTTTCGCCACGATTTTTCAATTTACTTTACGATATGAATGTGTTCGAGCGATCGATGAATAATATACGGGCACAAGTGTGTCGCGGATTAGAAGTCGCGCGCGCACGCGCGCAGGTAATGCGGCAAAAGCACCTAACAGAGCGAAGAAATGCCGGAGCTCGAAGTCCGATAACTCATTGCTCGTCATTCACCTTGAGAGGGGAATCGGGGCACGTGCAGTAGGTCGTCTGGCCGATATGTTAAGGGGACCAATCGCCAGTGGATACCGATTGCGCGTGTATGCGTGCGTGTACCCACCCGCCCCCTCACGATCGTAGTTACGCTTGTGTCGGTCATCGCATCGAGAAAAAAAAATCGTAACGTGATGGATACGCGTATAGAGATAACGATTTTTTTACTACGCCGTCGCAGTTGCGCTCGCTTTTTTCCTCGTGCGCGGTGAGCACGAAAACGCCATTACGAAACGCATAATTTGAATCGTTAGGAAACGGAGCTTTTACTGCCTTGGCCCGCACACGCATTTCTTGATTAACAACGTTATTATTTATTTACGATATTTTCTC